AGGCTATGACAGCGTCCTTATGTGCCGACACCGGCGTTTTAGCTGGCAAAGCGGCGTGGCTGATGTGGAGTGAAGCCACGTTAATGACAACGTGTACAACTATTGGAGATGTGAGCAGGACAGACAGAACAATTGACGGAAAAAGTTTGGACTTTATACCAGTTTTTAAATTGTGTTGAAAGGCCACGTAAAACCAGAGTTGTGATAAAAAGAAATGCAATGTTTGGTTTTCTTCCTGAATACTATCGTTGTTTATATTTACTGCGGGAAGAAACGGTAAAAACTGCGTTTTATAAGGAAAAACGCTCGAAAGCCTGTGAACAAAAACAACCCCGCCCCCTCGCCCTCGCTGCCCCTTTCCTATTCGTCCAAAAAAGTACCATGTCGACCAATCAAAAAATGATATGGCAACTTGGCATCTGTTGTTAAGAGACGGGGGGAAGTTTTAGGAGTGACGGCGGTGTTTTGAGATGTGAGAGATTTGAGACGTTTAGCGCAAATCTTGTGTAGTTAGTCTGTAGTGTAGTCAATAGTTTTGTTGTGTGTGTCAGAACAATGAGGCGACTGTTGAATGTTACAGGAGTGATACATCTCCTGTTGTCAGGCCTGCAGGTATCAGGCTGTTGTTCATTGTGGACAGAAATTATTTTTGGAGTGGCACAAATAATTTGTGTGGCATCAAATTTGATGCAGAACAGCTGATTGTTCTGTAAATAGTTTGAAATGTTTATTTAAAAATGCCTTGGCTGCATTTTAAAAAAATAGCTGCAAAAAATGTTGTTGTTTGCTAAACTCAGTTACTTTTTTGATGAAGTAGCTATATAATTTTGACACATGAAATGTGTCAAAATAAGGGGGGAATTTAAGGTTTAATAATTTAATTGTTTAATAATTTAGGATCATTTTAGGATTTTTTGGGGTTTTTGGTCATTAGATATGGTGAAGCAGAAATTGTTATTTTTATGTTAAGGTTAAAGGATTAAAGTGAACTGAATCCTGTTTAGAAGATACAATGCCAGTGTTTTAAAGCTGTGTACAAATCTTAGAGGGAAATTGTGGGACAAGTTGACAAAAAGATATGCTTTGGGGAACATTGGTGAAGGTTGTAGGTGTCACGGTCTGGCTGGTGTAGCTGTTGCTGTTCTGAGAGTCTATTGTGCAAGTGGTGTGATATGCCCATGTAGAAAGGACGGCACTGCAACGCTGGACTTGCCCTTACTCTGGGCTCCCTCTTTATTCTGGCAACTGGTACAAAGAAAACAGCACACAGTCTTCATTAACAATGTGCAAAGCAACTGCAACATTCAGTGCACCAGCTTGGGAGTTTTTTTTCCTTTTTCTTTCCAAACATAACACTTAACAAATGACTAAGATATATTTATACAACACAACATCAACAAAGTCTTTCTTTTAAAAGTTCTAGCTGAAACCAAACCTGTGATCGTATAGTAGCAATATTATTTATTTATTTTTCTCCTTTTTCCTAACCAACAACAACAATAACATATAAAAACAGCTTTTCTATTATAAAACAATCATCATTGTTCATCATTTTTTTTCCCTATACAACAGCATCAATTAAAACTTATACTTAACAGCGCCTACCTGGTACAAAGAAAACAGCACACAGTCTTCATTAACAATGTGCAAAGCAACTGCAACATTCAGTTCTGTTAAAAAGAATTAGAACTATTACAATCTCATAGAGAAGCATTAGATCTAAGTGCAAGTCAAAAAGCACCAAACTAGCTAACGAGTATTAGCTTAGCATGCTAACTAAAAATGCTACTCGTGAATAAAGTTACTACCCATGCATCAAAATGCCTGTAACTTTCAGGATACATGCTAGTACTGCTTACAATCAAAATACATGTTGACAATTACCACTATGAGGGTGTTTTCATTAATACAATTACAAAATTGACAACAGTATCGCTCACTAGCACCTACCACCAGCTTGGGAGTTTTTTTTCCTTTGCTGAGGCATGCGCTGTGCAGCAATTTGGAACCTTAACAGTTGCAGTTGCTGTGTTTGTCCACCAGGTGGCTCCAACTATTCACAAAGCACATCAATTTTGAGGAAATTCATTAAGCTATTTTCTAACTCTGTTACATCCACCCCCGCAGAATTTCACTCAAAATTATAGATGCACAACCCACAGCATCCACCAAAATCAACAAAACAAAAGAGAAACCCAAAAGAAAACAGACCCGACATGGTTATACAGACACACCAACTCAAGAAGTATCCCCAAAAGGATGAAGCAGAGTGAGCGGCGCCAACTCACTACCAGCTCCTGGATGCAGGATGCCGTCTACACCCCACACAAACCATGCCCCACAGAAAAAGAAATGTCCCCGCATCGGGACCGAAGTTCAAACATGGTGGTGCAATGGAAAACCAGAATGGAACAAAGAATACACCAAACTGGAAACCACAATGTAGAAAATAAAAAAAACTTACTGAAAAGCCTGACGTAATGACTTAGAGACTTTGCCAATCATCTGACTTGCATCATTAACAACCTCTTGAGTGGACATTACATGGAGCAACCGATTGACTGGTTTGACAATGCGTCCAAAACGAGATCTGACTGGTTGTACATCGCCAGGACCAGAGTGGGTGGAAGGCGTGAGTTGTCTGTTCCCTCCCTGAGTGATAGTCGAGGGGGCCGATAAGCAGTCTCGTTCAGAGGTCACTGAACCGGCTTGATGGTGCAAATCACTCACACTCTCAGGCTCATCAGCCATGCTCAAAACATGACTAGAGGGCTCAGCGCCCTCACAGCTGTCCGAACGTGCAGCCGACAAATTGTCAACCCATTGCCGAGTTCTGTTCACAGAATCCCCACTCTCTGAGAAAGACAGCAATCCCGTTGCATCCATGGCATTGCCAGATCCAGCTTCAGAAGAAGACTGAAAGGTGTGATCTGCGTGACTGTCCACGTCCACAGGCAAGAAGTTAACAAGCATCAACAGGTTACGGTGCACAACCCTCTCCTGTCCAGTGATAGGATTCTTGATCACATATGTGTGAGTAGCAGGTTTCATACCAATGACAGTGTATATGGTGGACTCCCACCTGTCTGCTGTTTTTCGCTTCCCTCTCTCACGTCTGTTGGAAACCAGGACTCTATCACCCGTAGCGATTAAGTTCCCCTTCACACGGCGGTTATAGAGCTCAGCCTGACGTCTCTGTTCTTTGTCAACATGTCCTTGAGCAATAGCCATTGCCTCTTGAAGATCCTTTGTCAGGGACACCACGTAGCTATCATAACAACCGATTTCAGGATCTTTCAGTATGTTTTTGAACAGCACGTCAACTGGAAGACGGGGGACCCTACCAAACATGAGATAGAAAGGAGCGTAACCTGTTGTCTCATGCACAGTACAGTTATACATGAATGTCAGGGTCTGGAGGCGCCGGGGCCAGTCGTGTTTCGCATCAGGAGGGAGGGCACGAATCATGTTGCCCAGTGTCCTGTTAAAACGTTCCACACTTCCAAACGTTGCCCATTGGATGGTACGGCGTCGTCCGAGACTTCTTCACACCAGCAACCCTGAGCAATTCGGCAACCAGCTGACTTTCGAATGATGCGCCCTGGTCAGAATGGACCCTCTCTGGGAATCCATAAATGCAGAAATACTTGTCCCAGAGTTGCTTCGCAACCTGTTTAGCAGACTGATCTTGGCAAGGGAAGGCCTGGGCCATCCTAGTAAAATGGTCTGTCACTACCAGCACATCAACAGGTTTCTTGTTAGAATCCTCCGCAGTCCAAAAATCAATGCACACAATTTCCAAAGGTGCAGATGTCTTGATACTCTCCAGGGGTGCCCTCCCCTCAGGATCAGCTGCCTTACCAATGACACACTGCTGGCATTGTCGCACATAATCCTTCACATCTCTGTCAATGTGCGGCCAAAAGAACCTCTGGCGGGCCAGACACAAGCTCCTAAACTGCCCCTGGTGGCCAGCATTGTCATGTGTGCCCTGGAGGACCTCGGGTTTAAGGGCATCCGGGACAACAAATTGGTATCTCTTCTTCTTGGAGACCTGATCCCTAGATACTCTGTAAAGGACACCATTACACATCGTCAGTTTGTCCCAGTGTTTAAGGTACCTAATGACCATGGCACACTCACTGGATCTCTCCCTCCGGGAAGGTCGACGGCCGCGTTCCACAAAGTACAGCACTCTGGAGAGGACAGGATCCCTCAACTGCCCCTCACGAAGCTCACCCTCAGAGAACACAGGTTGAGCATCTGTTGCAGGGAGAAGTAGCTGTGGAAGCTGTTGGAGGATGTCAACAGCACGCGTTCTGGCACCCGACTCCCAAAGGGTATGTGTCTCAAGGATGGCAGAGACCTCTTCTTTAGTCAAGGACTGGTTCTTAGCATGCACCGACACATTAGGCTCCTCCTCGACCTGGCCATCGAAGAGATGTCGACTGGAGTTCGACTGTCGAAATGCCTCCTGTACTGAGCCAACAGAGATGGGAAGAGCTTCTCCAACTAGGTTGCTATAAGGACAGCAAAGCAACCTCTCTCCGACAGCCAACTTCACAAACGGTCGACGACTTAGTGCATCTGCGACAATGTTCTTAGAACCAGGGACATATTTGATATCAAACTCGTGAGATGCCAGCTTCGCCACCCACCGCTGCTCACAGGCGTCCAGACGAGGTTTAGTCATAATGTGTGTAAGCGGATTATTATCAGTCCACACTGTGAAGGCATGTCCCTTGAGCCAGTGGCTGAACTTGTCACACACAGACCATTTCAACGCAAGGAATTCAAGGCGATGAGCAGGGTACTTACGCTGGGCACGAGAAAGGGATTTACTGGCAAATGCAACTGGTCTAGTCACAAAATCACCTTCCTGAACTTGTGAAAGAACTGCTCCCAGCCCATCCAAGGAGGCGTCGGTGGACAAGACAAAAGGGCGAGCAAAGTCAGGATGGGCCAAAACTACTGAGGACACCAAAGCAGCCTTCAGATCCTCAAATGACTGTTGATGATCCATGTGTCCAGTCAGTAGGTGTCAGCTTCCGAGATTGCATAGCACGGCTCACACGTGCCCGCCCCTTGCGCTTCTGCTTCTGGCCAGACAGAAGGTCAAAGAGGGGCCTTGCCAAGGCAGAGTAATTGGGCACGAAATGCTGGTAATAGTTCACCATCCCCAGAAATGATCTGACACGGGACTGTGACGGGGTGATTCCATCAGGCTCCATTAGGTCCGCAATGGTCATACTGCTGACAGCCTCGACCTTAGCAGGATCTGTGGACACACCAGACTCATTAATGATGTGCCCGAGGAATTTCACCGACCTCCTGAGAAGCCAGCACTTCTTCGGGGCCAATTTCAGGTTGTGTTGGCGAAGTCGGCTGAAAACCATTTCCAATCTCTCCAAAGCCAACTGCTCAGATGGTGCAAAGACCAACAGGTCATCAAGGTAGCACAGCAGGCTGAGGAAATTTTGATCGCCAAAAATGCAAGTCATCATTCTCATGAAGCTGGCTGGGCTGTTGCACAAACCCTGAGGGAGGCGGTTATACTCGTACAAACCCATGGGTGTTGTGAATGCAGAGTATTTGCGATCTTCCTCATGTAGCGGCATGTTATAGAAGCCAGAAGTCAAGTCCATCGTGCTAAAAAACGCATTGCCACCAAGGGCTGCCAAGCAATCAGCTTGATGTGGCAGGGGATGAGCGTCCTTTAGCGTCCTCCTGTTGAGCCATTGAAAATCGGTGCACACTCGCAAGTCACCATTTCTCTTCCACACAAGGACAAGAGGTGAGGCAAACTCGCTAGTAGACTTCCTGATTATGTCTCTCTCCTCCATCTCGTTAAGAACCTGGCGGAGCTTGTGGTATTCGGCAGGAGGCACACGCCTGTAGGGGAGACGAAATGGCCTGTCATCTGTCATTCGAATCCTGTGTACAAAGCCCTTAGCCTCACCACAGTCCAGATGATGGCGAGAAAAGACATCTTGATAATTGACCACAAGGTCAGCCAACTTTTCTTGCCAGTCCGACGACACATCACAGGATTTCAGGTCCAGGTCACCCAGGCCAACACGGTCCAGCCTCTCCTGTACAGTACCAACATCCACTGTGGGTACAGATGTCCCAGTGGGCTCTGTACGAGTAGACTGTTGACTGAGCTCTGGAACCTCCATATCCTCCAATGCAAGGCAGGTGTAGACATCAGCAAGCTTGGCATTCCTCCGCAGAATAACAGGGTTGTCTGTGACGTTAAGGAGCTTGAGTGGGACCCACCTGTCTCCCCAGAGAGGGGTCACTACTCTAGCGACCATGATGCCCCTGGGTGCAGAGCGAGAGGTGGTTGGCTCAGTAACTACAGTAGAGCCGGGAGATATCTTAACATCTTTAGGAAGTTTCCCCCATACAAGAAACTCACTGTTACCTGGCAGGGTGACAGCCCTGTTGCAGTTGCACCTGACTGTGCCCACTTTGTCTGGTATCTCAGTACCAGACCAGCGTTCCAGGCCAGCAAGCAGAGAGAGGAACTGTTCAAGTTCCTGATGCCCTGAACGCGACGTCGAAACTGCCTCCCAGTAGCTTGCATCTTTCTTGAACTGACGGATTAAATGTCTGATGACATTCGAGCCAACAATTAAGTCATCTTGTTGATTCTCAACAACAAAGGTTGGAACCAAGATACGACACCCATACACTTCCATGTCAAGCTCCACCACTGATTTAGGCTTCACTCGTACACCACCACAGCCAACAAAAACAACAGT